GGTGGTGGTGGTGGTGGGGGTGTGGGTGGGGGCTTCCTCCCATCCCATCCCATCCCATCCTTTATCCCCACACGTCTCATGAAGTTCATGAAGATATTAGTTTAACGCGTCAACGATTTGTTGTAGAATAGTCATCATGTTTTATACAGACAACCGTAGACCACATACTGAAGAAGGTTGTCCTTCATGTCAAACATTGAGGCACAGACAGAAGAAAATGTCCTTTGATAATGACTCTCAGGCACACATGCTAATGCTAGCTGCTTCACTAACCTGTAGCATGTCTGTAGACCATGATGGATTCTGCAGCTGTGTCTCCTTTCTGCCACCTGAGTGAGTTTCAGAAGATGACTTTTCAAGATTCTCCTCTGCTGGGAAACGTCAGGCTGAGTCTCACATGCTGCTGCTGCTGCTGCTGCCGCTGCCGCCCTTTCACACAGCACTAGTTTTATTGCACTAATTAAAATCGGCTGCGTCTGACTTTATTTGCGGTAAACTCTGTAAATCCACAGGAAATATTAAGAGACATAAAAACAAAAGGAGGGAAAAGGAACTGAAGTGCTTCTTATTTTAAAGTTTCCACATTAATTTCACATTGTTTTCACACATGACAGTTTTTAAAACAGGCAGTTGATCTTTTCCCCACACATTTCCAGAAGTGACTTGACTCTTTGTTTGCTTGGATTAGTGGACGACTCAGACACTGGAATAAACTCTGAGGGAACAGAGTTTTCTTAGACTGAACTCAGTTACCTGTGAGACTGACGGTAGTCGGGACACAGTTTAGCAAAGTGAGCATATCTGCAGCTTATTAAAAAGAAAGAATGAAAACTTGGTAGTTGTGTTATTCAGAAAGTTTTTGTTGTGGCCTTCTTTTAATACAGCTCAGCCACAAATGCTGTTGAAGACAAAAGTCTGTCTGTGTATATGAAGCCAACTACACTGGATTTGGTCACGACATCGTGTTGTTTTTCTTTTTTTCAATTTTTTTTTATTCCTCCATAGCCAATCTTTAAAATTGATTTTCTTCTGTGTGAATGACTCTAGCCTCTTCCCAATTCATGATGTGGTTTTGTTGGAATCAGTTATCTCAGACTGCCGTAATGGACAAAATGATAATCATAAAATAATAATCATGGTAATCAGTTCCCCATTTCTGCCACTGGAGGGCTTTGCCACCTGAAGATTACAATGCTGTGGGACGATTCAACCTAACTAGGTGGACCATTCTACAAAAGTCTTTGTCACTGACACATGACAACAGCAGCTCGAGGAAAAGGAAGAGGAGGAGGAGGAGGTCAGAACCTTCAGCTCCCTCAGTCCCAGCTCTCTCCTCCTGTTTCCTCTGAAACATCTTCAAGAAGAAAAGAGAAGATCAAACATGGAGCTTGACCAGGATGGATCCATGGTTTCAGGTTTCAGAGCGACCCCCTCCCCCGTGTCAGAAAAGGATGTGAGTGTGGCGACAGAGCGGGAGCCAAGTCCTACATTCCAGACCAGTATTTTTAGTGTTGGCATTTAAACCTGGCAACACATCGAATGCCCATACCATGGTACTATTTCCTGTTCCTGCAAGAAGACCAAAAGTCCTAAGCTGTTATCAAAAAGAAGCTCCATGAACCAATGACAACGAGTCTCCTTGATGATTAGGTGACAGACTGTGGGTCACAGGATATGAATGTTATTCTTTATTATCTTTATGCCAAGTCTACAGCTTTTATTAATGTATGAATTGACCAAACATCAGCCACAGTTTAGTAATAAAACAGCTTCAATAAGAAAGGTATAAAATCCTTCCACATCATAATGTTGATTATTATTGACTTAAATTAATTTGGTCACCATGTCCAGGTCAGGGATCAAAATCATCATGTTCTACCAGATTAATAAAAATCCAGAACAAGAACACAAAACAGAAATCCACGATTCCCCGTCTTTGGTCAGAGACGACCTCTCTGCTGCGCCCTCTGCTGTGCGCCTGACAGCCGATGTTATTTGTGTTCCTGCTACAAGAGGATGGAATGCAACGACGCTCAGATGAATGAAGGCCACGACATGTCCACCATCTCATGAATGTAACTGGACTCTAGGGCAGAGAGACAGCCGCGGTCAGAGCCGCTCAGAAGAAAATTAAATTCACTTCAGTTTAATCCACACATTCTTGTGTTAAAAATCTGGAGGTTATTCTATTGATATCACTACAATATGTTTTATACAAAACTGAAAATTCAATTTTCAAATCCTTTTAATCTCCTTCAACAAAGTCCAGAGAAACAATGATAAAATCTGACATCATGGCTCTCCAGTCCGACTACAGGACTTGTATTTGATTAAGTCAAGAATACAAAACTGTTTAGATTCACTCCAATGACAACAAATGACCAGAAGAGGCAGCAGTGGGCTGTCCCTGTGAGCTAAAATTCTTATGGATTTTACCTCTAAAATCAGAGAGAAAACAAAAAAAAAACACCCTTTCCTTGTTTTATTCATAGATAAAACAACAGGTCAAGAAGAAAAATTAAAGTTGTGTGATTGTGTCTGTGAGTGTGTGACGGTGACGACAGCTGATCTGAGTCAAACCTCAGTCCATCCATCCATCCATCCATTTTCATCCGCTTATCCGTTACCGGGTCGCGGGGGCAGCAGTCGCCACCCAAATCACATTGCACCGTACCAAACCTTCCTGCGGGTGGTGAGTCCACTGGAATCAAACCTCAGTGTGTCTGTAAATAGTCGGCAGTGAGAATGAGGACAAAGACCTGAACAGTCCACACTGGTTATTTCACACATGTCCACTTTAGTACAGTCTAGTCCAGTCCAGTGTAGTCTAGTCCTGTCTAGTCTTCCCCTTGGTTCAAATACTTCATGGTCATTTCCCTTCACCGTAACCCTGAGGCGTCTTTACAGACAGTCAACAGCCATCTTGTTTTTAATGATATAAATGATTTGGAAAAATTACTGTAAATTAATTCAAACGAGTGAATTAGTAATATTATTACTCAGTTTCGTTGTACCCCATGTTACAATAGATAAAATTAAAAATACAATTAAAATAAAATAATAAAATAAAGACTAAAATTCTGTTCTAACAATTTGAGTTGAACTACTAATATTATTCATCTGACGTGTCGTTCTGTCGTTTTCACGCTGCGACATCGTTAGTGTGCAGCTCTGTGACCTTCATTCAGGCTTTTATTTTTCTTTCTGCGATGTTTATGACAAACTAACTGTTCAAGTGCTCTGCTAATCCTCCTCAGTCACATGACCTGGGAGCTCAGCAGCTCGGCGGACGATGCCGTGGACTTTCCACACGCAGGAGCTCCTGTGGTGACAGCGGCGGTGAAGGTGAGGACACACGTTTCCATAACAAGAACAACAGTGTGTGTTCACACCAACCACTTCCTGTCAGGTGTAAATTCTCTGTTGGAGCAGGTTCAGAGATGCCGCCCACTCATGTGAGTTTATCTTCTATTTTCCAAGCTCTGTATTTATTGTTGTGTCCAGATATTTCTTTGACAACCCAGGGTAATTCTTTTTACATTAACTTCTAGTTTCCTTTGGCAAATTTTAGTTTAGTTTTCATTATTTTTAGAAAATGTTATTCATTGTTTCTTTTCTTCTTCTTTTCACAAAATACTACTATACTATACTTCTACTTTTACCAAATTTCTGCATGTTTGACTTAACAGTAGACGATTTCTGAGCTTGTAGATGTTTTTTTGGCAAATTTCTAGCTAACGTTTAGCTATTTCTAGGATAACTTTAGTTGTGTTTAGCTAATTCAAATGAGTTTTAGCTCAGTTAGCACCATTTTGAAGCTAACATTGAGTCTTTTGTCTACTTCCTGATTACATTTTTGGACCTGGATTTGGAACTGATTTTGTTGGTTCACTTCATCTGACCACATTAGTCATTAATAATAATAATAATAATTAATAATATTACAGCGATGTCCAGTCTGTACTCCTCTGAAATGAACCATCTGTAAGAAATGTCATATTTATTTTCGATGGCTGATCCTGACATTTGGAGGCGATTGTTGTTGCTCTAAGTTTCCGTCAATTTCTGACCCAGTTGTTTAAATAACAGCTTAACTTTTTGTTGGCAGGGATTTTTTTTAACCCTGAGAAATAGATGATGGTTGGTTGAAAATTCTTGTGCTCAGTTTCAGTTATTTCCGTGCAACTTAAGATCTTTCTTTGTAAAATAAAATTCCAAAAGATTTGAAAAAAGGTGACACATTTCAGCTGGACTGCATGTGAACTTGTACAAATACATTTTTTAAAAACATAAGAAGTAAAAATTCACCTGAAAAAACTCACGTCCTCTTTAATGAAGTGGAGCTGCAGTTGTTCTTCGTTAAATGTAAATTACTGCTGCTGATTAAAACAGACCTGACAGTGACTCAGGCCAGTGATTTCAGTGCAGCTGTGATTTTTCTAAAATAGAACACATTTTTACCCAGGACACATGATTTACCACCTCTTTAATCCATAAATGTCTTTTTCTGCCCAAACATCTGCTTTGGGTAGAAATGTGGTAAATACTTCATCGTCAGACGACTCCTTCCATCCATCCACCCAGGAGGAAAAAAGATCTAGATTTAATGCAGTGAAAATATACTTTAATAATGACTAATTCATCCCCAATAAAAACCTTTTATAAATTAACTTAAATTTATTAACTGTACTGATCGTTAAACGTCTGTCGGCTGAGGTCGTATCAAGTGTACAGTATTAATACTACACATACACTTTAGTTTTATGTTCACTGTACTGCAGTTAAACTACTGCAGTGACTGAGTATTCAGTATCATGTTATATGGAAAGTGTTAAAAAGGTAAAAGTGGCTATTTAATAAAACAATACATTTAATAAAACAATACATTTAATAAAATAATACATTTAATAAAACTATTTTTTTTTCATTTTCCATATTTTTTGGTTGTTATTTTTTCCCCAAAATAAACACATTTTATTTATTTTGCTTGAAAAACCTTTTCAATAATTTAAGCTAACAGAAATCTTTTTATTGGAACATTTGGCTTTTTGCCTGTACATCAGGTTAGGTTGATACAGCTTTGCATACATTAACAGCTATTTTAACGAACGATTAATTTTTTTACATTTTCGAGTCAAATTAGTTGGAAGTTTTTGCTACATTGTACTTGTCATGATATTTACCCCATAAAGTTTCTTTTTTTATTGCTGGGCTGTGTTTACAGTCAGCAGAACAAATATATCATGTTTTTACATCCCACAGATTTCTGCTGTTCCAACCCTTGATGAAGGGAAAATATACTCATAAAACGAAGGTCTGTCAACAGTAGTTGTATTTTAAAAACCAAAAAGGCCAAAAAGCTAAATGAAACCTTCCAGACAAACACTGGGCACTACAACAATTTCAAATAAATAAAAGTCCCAGTTTGTTCAGATGATATAAAGAACAACATAAAGGGTTAGGGTCAGCAGCTTTATTAGTAAAAATAAGGGGCTTATGTACTCCAGCAAAACATTCTATCACAGTTTTATACCTGGAAGCTTCTGTTGTAAAAGTACTACTTTATTTTTGTAACATAATAACCTGTTGTACATGAGCAGTAACACACACGCAGAGTGAAACTGGTCTGGAAAATGAGTCAGGCTCATAAATCCTAACGTGCAGCGTCGTGGGTTTGGACCAAAGTAAACCTGTGACTGTGGAAGAAAAAAAAAGAAAAAAATTTACTACAGAGACACACACACACACACACACACACACACACACACACACACTAACTACTAACAAATACAGATGTTTGTCAAGGGGCCAAGGCAGCGTGTTCTCAATATGAGCAGCAGCAGCAGTAACAGCAGCAGCAGCAACAGCAGCAGCAGCAACAGTAACAGCAGCAGCAGCAGCAGCAACAGCAGCAGCAGCAGCAGTAACAGCAGCAGCAGCAGTAACAGCAGTAACAGCAGTAACAGCAGCAGTAACAGCAGCAGCAGCAACAGCAGTAACAGCAGCAACAGCAGCAGCAGCAACAGTAACAGCAGCAGTAACAGCAGTAACAGCAGCAGTAACAGCAGTAACAGCAGCAGCAGCAACAGTAACAGCAGCAGTAACAGCAGTAACAGCAGCAGTAACAGCAGTAACAGCAGCAGTAACAGCAGCAGCAGTAACAGCAGTAACAGCAGCAGTAACAGCAGCAGCAGTAACAGCAGCAACAGCAGTAACAGCAGCAGTAACAGCAGTAACAGCAGCAGCAGCAACAGTAACAGGAGCAGCAGTAACAGCAGCAGCAGCAACAGCAGCAGAAACAGCAGCAGCAGTAACAGCAGCAGCAACAGTAACAGCAGCAGCAGCAGCAGCAACAGCAGCAGCAGTAACAGCAGTAACAGCAGCAGCAGCAACAGCAGCAGCAGTAACAGCAGTAACAGCAGCAGCAGCAACAGTAACAGCAGCAGCAGCAACAGCAACAGGAGCAGCAGTAACAGCAGCAGCAGCAGTAACAGCAGTAACAGCAGTAACAGCAGTAACAGCAGTAACAGCAGTAACAGCAGCAGCAGCACATAAGCTGAAACAGCATCAGAAGCGTACAGTGGCAGCAGTAACATTAGCAGTAGCAGCATCTATAGCAGAAGCAGAAGCATCGGTTAAAAGTAGCAGCCAAAGACCCAACAACAAAGGCAGCGTCAACAGTTGCTTCAGCAGTGTACAGTAGCCAAAACAACTCTAGCCACACCAGTAGCAGCAGCAATGAATGACAGTAGCAACAGCATCAGAGGTTTCGACAGAGGGTAGTAGCAACAGCAGCTTTAGCATCATCGTTGTTACAGCACCAACTCATTAGCTTGATCAAACCTCCAGTCACCAGCCAACAGTGTCTTAGCTGCAGTTTAGCATCGGGAGCACAAGCTAACGACAGCTTAAGTAGCAGTGAACAGCAGCACCTGTCCCGTCTAGGGGTGGGACCCACATTTTGATTCTAAATGCTCATTTTACTCTGTCGTTCTAATTTCGTCACTCACTTGTGACACACGTCTTGTGACACCCTTAGGCTTGATTTAGCTTGAATTATTTTTCAAGAGCTCTATATGTAAAAGTGACCCAAAAAATATAAAACTTGCTAAGAGAAAAGAAAAACAATATAGATAAAAGACATAATAAACCAAACATTTTTTTACACATAATATAAACAACAAAACAACAGCCCAAAATTGAGAAAGAAGAAAAACAGATGAAATGTATTCAAGAGGTTAGCATACTTATTAGTGATCTAATAAATTGCTAAAAGTTAGCCAACAATGTAAGGGAGATGGCTAACAATAGGCCAAGATATCAGCCAATGAGCCAAAAAGTTCCATAAATAGAAGGAATGATGGAGAGAAAATGATCTGTTCTACATTCCAAACTAATTTCCTGAGAGCAAAGAAAACGTCCATCAATGCTGAACGTCCTCCCAATGACGTGCCATGATTGGACCTCCTCCTGGGCTCGGGACACTCCTGGTTCTACAGTTGGTTTTGCTGCTGAATGAAGACAGACTGAAACTTGATAAAGAAGGCCGGGGGAATAAAGGAACAGATGAAGGGCTCTGGAAAACTCTGAGCCAAAAAAAGGGAAACAGTATTTGGGTTTTTAGATGAAAAGACTTCCAGAGATGAGAAGTGATGCACACGTGGATCTGGATCTACTCTGTTCTTCTCTCTTTGTCCTCACCGGAGTTGAGGTTACAAACACTGGATGAAGTGATGCGAACGGTGCCAGTGGTTCAAAGTGTTAACAGCCCTTGACGGAAATAAAGGACCAGTCTCTAAATTTAAAGTCAGAAAAAAAACTTCTACACAGGTCTTTTAGATACAAGTAGCGTTTTATAGACTTTTACAGCTACAGTGTTACACTTCATACAGGATGGGAGGTTTCATGGTTTAAGTTTGATTAGGTTGATTTAGAATGGATTGATTTATTGATATGTTTCGTTTGGTGGAGAAATGGTAAATTGGTGCGCAGAAGAAAGGTAAATATTTGGGATAACGGTAGCCAGTAGGTAGGACAGTAGGAGATGGTAGACAGAAATCTGGGTGTAGATCAGTTGGGTGCTAGATAGGTTAGGGGTTGAAATTTGTATAACTTGCTTTGCCATATGCTTCCTAGGCTTTTAAACCACCTCACAGGCAGGCATGTGAGTTGTTAGTAACTAGTAGTAACTATCATAGGTAATAAAGTTACTCATCGTAGAGCGCTGATATGACGCTGATAAAATGAAAACTCATGCGGGCTGTATAAACTGGCCTGCAGGCCACGTGTCAAGGGTCACTCGTTCAGATTCTAGAACTCTCCAAATGAAACTCTGAGTGTGTGATGGTGAGGAAGTGTCCAATCCCTGACATACCTGCTGCTCTGCGTCTATATTTACCAGGTATTGGTTTGATATCCCACTCTCCCGATATGGCCTTCAAAGAGACAAGCATCA